TTTCTAGTTCGGAATAGTTGAGCTTTGCTCCTGATAGGGCCTCTGATATGAAGTATACCGGGAACTGCTTCATCTTGTTTTTATGTTCCTTTTCGTCGACCAGCACTACACTGACAGTTGTTGGCGATGCTGCTAGATATAACAGCAACGTTGCCGATGGCGACGGTTTGGATAATGTTGTCAACTTGGTTAAGTATGTTTTGAGTTCGTCAAAGGCGTGCTGCTACTCATGCCCATTCGAAATGGTCTAAGCTTTGGAGAGTTCTAAAGAAGGGTAGGCCCTTTTTGGCCGATCTCGAGATGAATCTGTTCAATGCTGCTAGCCTTCCCGTGAACTTCTGTACCTATTTCTTGCTTGCTGGCGGTTTCATGTTTACTATCGCTGCTATCTTTTCAGGGTTTGCTTCGATGCCCCTCGCCGATACTAGGCAACCAAGCAGGTTGCCTTTCTTAATGCTGAATATGCATTTATCTCGGTTTAACCTGAGGCCGGCCTTACATAGGTTTTCGAATGTTTCTTGAAGGTCCCGAATGTGGGTCTCCTTCTTATCGCTTTTGACCATGATGTCGTCGACATACTCGATGAGATTTTTGCCTTTCTGCTTGTCGAAGAACCCACCTGCCATCCTCGAGAACGTGGCGCCTACGTTTCGTAGTCCCTCAGGCGTTCGCCGATAACAATAAGTTCCTCCTGGGGTGATGAAACTCGTTTTCTCTTCGTCATCTAGGTTCATCTAGATTTGGTGATACCTAGAAAAACGGTCCAATAGACTCATCACTTCGCATCCAGCGGCGATATCGACTAGCTTGTCAATCCTTGGAAGCGGATATGGATCTTTTGGGCAGCACTTGTTTAGGTCGGTGAAATCGACACACATTCGCCATTTCCTGTTTTTCTTTCTGACCATTACGACGTTGGCTAACCATTCCAGGTGCTGAACAGGCCTGATGACACAGGTGTTGAGTAACCTCTACACTTCTGCTTTCACTGCTTCTGGTCTCTCTACGAACATCTTCCTCAGCTTTTGCTTCCTGGGTTTCGCCCCTGCTGCTACATTCAAGCTATGTTGCGAGAGATCGCGGCCGACCCCTTGCAGGTCTTTTGCCGACCAGGCGAATAAATCTTGATTCTCATGGAGAAAAGCTAACAGCATGTCTTTCTCGTCCTCTACCAAATCAGAGCCCACGTGCACGCATTTTTCTGGCACCAGATTTGACAGTGGGGCTTTCTGAGTGTCCTCGACTGCTTCTGCCCTTGGTTTGACTTTGTTTTCACTATCCTCTTCTTCGCTAGGCGGTTTCTTGGTAACTTCATTTACAAGGCTGTAACCTAGGATCGGTTTGCCTTCTATTCGTCTGGATGTAGCTTGATCTCCATGTACTGCGATGATGCTGAAGGGGGATGGCATCTTCATGCATAAGTAGCTTTGCTTTATCACGATTTTGAACTTGTTCAGAACTCCTCTGCCAAAAATCACGGTATACGGGTAATCCATGTTGACTATGTCGAAAGTTATGGTTTCTATGCAGACCTTCTCGCCTTCTGCGAAAGAGACAGGGATTGCTTTCGTTCCTAAAGCGTCAATCTTTTTGCCCCCAAAACCGAACAGTGAGCTCCTGCCCGGTTCCAACATTCGCTTGTCCAGGTTCATCTGCTCGAAAGGCTTGATGAATAAAATGTCGGTGGAGCTTCCATTGTCTATGATGATGTTGTGTACAGTGAACCCGGCTATATTCGTTGTTGCTACAAAAGCGTCTATGTGAGGAAAATCCCACACTTGAAAGTCATTTTTGCCGAAAGTAATGGGCACCATGGACCAAGCTGGCCTATTAAGCGGTACCCTTGGCGAGACGGTGTGCACTCTTCTTTCAAATTCTCTTCTGGCTCTCTTGTTTTTGTGCTCTGGGTTTGATCCGCCGGTGATTGCGAATATATGGCCTTGTGATGGTAGGATATTGTTTATGGCTTGATGTTCTTGAGTATTTTCTTCCTTTGTGGGCTGAGGTTGGCTTGAATGTTGCTGCTCTTACTGAACTATTGAAGATGCCACTGCCGACTGCCCTGGGTGCTGGGCGAAATGCTAGTATACTAGAAACGGAGGCTGCTGCCAGATGTACGAATGCTGGTTGTATCTGTGTGAAAAGCTAGGGTGCTAGAAAGCGTTGCTGTTTGCCAACGAATAATGGCTATCATAACCCTGGTTGTTTACTGTTTCGCGACTAGTGTTGTGGAACACATGGTTAGATGTTTCATTGCTTCTTGCGGCCTCATCTTTCTCCATAAGTTATCTGGCCATTTTGTTGTATTTACAATCTTTTGTGAAGTGTCCCGCGTTTTCGCCACAAATAGCGCAATAGGGTGTTCTTTGGGCTCGTCCTCTTCCTCTGCCTTTGCGTCCGCCATGGGGTGCTCATCCTCCTCGCCCTCCGCGCGGAGACTGATCAAAACTTCTATACTGTTGGTTTGGCGGCGGCCCCTAGAGACCTTGTTCCGCTGGGTTGTGCTCTAGTTGCTTGTGCAGATTGTTGATTGCGCGAAATTGTCTCATATTTCACTGGCTTTGGGTTTGTGGTGGCCTAGGGGCCTTGGATGCTTGTCGCCATGAATTTGTTGTCGCTTTTCGCTTCTTCAAGTCGTCATCTGATCTTGCGTATTGTCTCATCACCTCGAACAGCTCATTTACAGAAGTGGGATAATTCCTAGTGAAATGAGCTGTACACTGGCTTATGGCCAATCCTTCCACGGCTACTGCTATAACCGTCTCCTCTGGCGCATTCAGAACCTGAGCTTTGGTCTGAATGAATCTCTCCAAAAACTCAAACAAGGATTCGTTGTCTCGCTGGATGCAGCTTAGCAAATCTCTCATTGTTTTCGTTCCTGGGTGGTATCCTTAGAAAGTGGACACCAACTCTGCTCTGACTTGGCCCTAGGACTTGATAGATAAAGGCTTCAGTGAGGTATACCAATCATGTGCGATGTCCTCATTCGCCATGATGAGTGACTTTGCGAGGATTTGAGCGTCTCCCCTGGCTGACGTTACCGCGGTTTCATAACTCATAAGGAACTTCCTCAGGTTTGTCTTTCCGTCGAAAACCGAAATGCAAGGCTTGTAGCCGACTGGCCATGGATACAGCTAGAGTTCTTTCGACAAGGGTGAAGTAGGGCCGTATGCACTTTTGTCTTCTTCCAGAAGATTGTCATCTGGTATTATGATGTTTTCGCTAGCGCGAATGGCACCTCCTGCTCCTGCTCCCTATAGTCCTTGAATTTCTCTTGCCAATCTATCTCTCTGGATTTCGACTTCCTTAATTGCCCTCTGTGTCTATTCGACTCTGTTACGGCTAGCGGCTTGCATGCCTTCTTGTTCTGGAGTCTGAGGATGTCTTGCTGGTACTGATTCAACATCTTCAGGTTTCTAGCTTGCTCAGTGATCTCGCCATCTTCATCTTCTTTGACCTCATCGCCGTTTTGGTCGATCTCGACTTCTTCGATGTTGCCCTCTGGCGTTTGCTCTCGCCCTCCTGGCGCTGCGATATCATCGATATACGGCCACGGCGCAGGTGGTTTCGTAGTGCGTCTACTTCCGCTGCTGCTGCAACGGTTACAGTCATGAATGTTCCTACTTTATTCGTCTTCTGCTTCTTTGGTGCCATGATAAGCTCGAGCAACAACCACGGTGGGAGCCAATGTTGTTCTGAACTAAGGCCTTCGAACACCGGTTGCCGCTCAAGCGAAATCAAGCACGAGAAATGGGTAAAGTGAGACTTGAGCGAAACAAGAAGAACGATTTCATTGAATTTGTTCTCCTCCCTTATATTCCCTCAACAGGGGCTATGTATACATGCCCATGGGCTTTCCATTGGATGTAAATGCCCACTCAACTACTACAAATTCGCGGAATATTCCCCGCAGCCTTGGGGCTTGTTCGCCATCTAGAGCCCCCCGCCTGCCTCAGATAGCGCTGACCGGGCAAGACCCAACCGGCTCCGCCTCATGTCGCCTGTTCAACCGACCGGGCGGCCCCTCGGTGGGCAGAAACTGTCGGGCACGCGAAGGTAGCCGGCTCCTTCTTTGGCGAAACCTGCGGAAACGATCAACCAAACTGTTAATGGCTACTCGCCTAAGCGAATAGCCATGATCGACTGCGCGCCCTCCTTTGGCGAAACCTACAGAAACGATCGACCAAACTGTTAATGGAGCCATGACCAACTGCGCGCCCTCCTTTGGCGAAACCTCCAGATTAACCAAACTTACCAACAGCTATCCGCCTAAGCGAATAACCAGATTTGCCAGCAAGCCAGTCGCTAGAGCGAAAAGGAAAAGAACTAGACACGGCTCGACCCCGGCCACAGAGTCCACCTTTCCACTATAGCGAAAAGGGGTGTCTGAGGACGGGATGGCAAGTGCCGCCCTCACTTCACTGTGGCGAGAAGGGGACTCGACACATCCTTCTTATCACACATGGTCAGCCCGCTCGCATTTCGTTATAGCGAAATGCTGAGCGCGCCGGAGCCCAACTCCCGTTATTATGTTTCTGCGAGAAACCGGGATGGCGATTGAGCCTCTCAGGGTGCCCAAAGGCGGGGCACGCCCCCGACACTCCGTCCCAAAATATCTGTCGTTTTCGTTTTTCGAGAAACAACTTTGACAAAATATATGTTAAAAAATACTAATATTTATGGTACATAATTGGTATTATTGAAAAAATCTTTGAATCTAGTCTTTTAATAAATATATTTGAAAATATAAATATTATACGTATTTTTTATAAATCGAGTCGAACTTCACACGAAACCAACAAACAGACGGAGGAATTTGTTTTTTTTTATAATGGCGCATAGGTGCGTGCCCCTGAACCATGGAGCCACCTGAACATTCTGGCAGCATGTCGGTCTTGTTCTTCTTCTCCCTCCCCAATCCCCCGCCACGCTGCTGCTGGCCGCGCTAGGGTTTTACCGCCAATCTCTCACTCGCATCCGGGCGACCCCGCCCGATCGGGATGGTGGAGGAGGCGGGCGACAGGACGCAGTCGCAAATGCGGCTCAACCACGCGGCGGCGGAAGGCGACGCCGGCCTCCCGCCGCCGGCCTTCCTCGGCGGGGCGTCACGGCTCCACGCCGTCGACCAGGTCCGTCCGTTCCCGCGTCTCCTCCTGGGCCGCTTCCTACTTTCTCCGGAATCTCATCTCGCAAGGCACCGCCCTTGGCCGATCGCCGCACGTTTCCGCGCCGGTTTCAGTTTCGGCTTCTCGGCGTCGTCTTCCTCGTGCCTCACGCGCTCGCCGCGCAGGCAGCACCTCGCTTGCCTTTTCTGCACTCGGCTGGCGTCGATATACTCCCCCTCCAGGATAGGCACGGGCAGTCCCGCGAGGTTGTTCTGTGAGCGGCGGATTCCGGTTGCTCGCCATTGGGGTGGCTCCGTCTGGTGCCGTCCGGTGCTCCGGTGAGCCGTTCGTGGAGTTGGGGCGGGGTGATCCTCCTCTTCCTCCTCACGATGGCGGCCTGGAATCGGTAGAGGGACGTGAATAGCGACCCTGAGCACTCCGTCGGCACATCGCGTCCTCCTCTGCCTCGGCCTGATAACGGTACGGACGGATTCCTCCCCCTCTCTCTGAACCCGATGTTCCGATTTGGGTGGTATCATCTGTAGTCTGTTGGGTTGCGATCGGATTTGAACTTACTCGATGTCTAGATCTACTCCTTACTCTTTGTTTATCAGATGATTTGGATACCGATTCAAACTTAGGATCAGAGTTATTACTGGTTAAACATGCCTGTTGCTGTATGCTTCCTTATGTATATGAACTGTTCTTTCCACTACGCGATGAGATGCCAGAAATTTTATCTCTGCATGATTATCACATCTATTGGGGACATCCTTTTCTTTTTGGGGGGAATAGGAATTTGGAGGGCACTGCAATTGCGAGATAGCAGTGTTGTACTTGTACAGGTGGGGATTCAAAACATCTTTTCAGACACAGTCCAGTCTGCAACTGTACACAGTGCGTAGTATTTTGAAGATGCATGGAAGTGCTAGTATCCGTTATGTACTGCGTTCGATTTCAAATACTGAAATGCCCGTTGCGCGCCATGGATTCAATGGCTGGGATCTTCCGGATCCATGGCTCACTTTGCGCCTTTCGCGCCATCTTTGATTTGTATACTTTGTCGTTTTGCGCACTTTGTCGTAACACCTAGTTGCTTATTCTGTCCTGAGTAATAAGTAACCGATGTCCGTTGACATATCGTAATGATTGCCAATGGAATTACTGATTACCATTGGTCCCACACATGGTGTCTGTACCTTTTTTTTTTTTCCAAGCAACAATATGGCCTCAAAGTTATAATATGCTGTAAGACACATTTTCACTTTTTTTTCTTACTATTTATATTACCATTAAATGAATGACATGATGATTCCTGTGTAGGAGATAGATACTTACCTTTAGAAGCAATGTTGCCATTTTTGGGTCAAACTCAGAATTATGAATGTTTCCCCTTATTTAGCATGCTACGTGTGTTACTGTCTGATGTTTCTTTCACACCCTTGATCTCCATTCTTATGAATAAGAGCAAGTGGAAGACCATCCGTATGATTGATGAGTTTATATCCTAATCTTGAGTGTTGTAAGAGGGTATAAGCACCATGTAGCTATAGGCTCAGAACGTCAGAAGATAGTAATCCTAGGATGTTGGGTTGGGCTGTATGGTTAAGCTAAGTTTTACCCTTTCTGGAAATGGTTTTGGTTTTAAGGTTAGGGTTTCCCTTATCATTCTCGATTTGTGCAAATTTTAGGAAACTTACTTTTGTGTTGGAACCAAAATAAAGTTACAGCACATCATCATAGCACCAGAGCATCGACATAGTGGGAAATTGCTCTTCTAACAGAACAAGCACGTGAAAGATAGAACCTCGGCTTGTTTCTTGCAATCATACTTTTTTTTCTTTTCTTGATCTTCTTCCTTTGAACTGCATTTCGATTTTCCACTTTCAGTCTTGGAAATTTCTCATTGCCATTAATTTCTTACATCATGGCTGCCTGGCGGGGTTTCATTAACTATTTCAGTAATATGTGTAGTTGTCCACTTTTGTTTCTAAAATATTGGAAGAGTTTGTTGTAGTTGTTTATTTATCATTTTTTAGAACAAAATGGTCAGCACCATTTCCCTACTGAAACAAGCATTACTGGTGCAGAGGTCAGCATATCTTGGAAACAACAATCCCTTCTGGTAATTAGAGAGCGGCACACGGCCAACATGTAAAGCTAGCACCGCCAATGAAATTATAATGACAGGACATCACCTTTTGTTTTCTCAGATAACGTAACAAGTACAAGAGCTGGTTTGATGACTTATGTGTCTAGACAACACCTTGAGTGACCACATAATAGCTATCTTTCTTTATGATGGATCAATTCAAATATTCTCTGCAGTCGAAAACATGGATGATTGTAACAATTTTTATCTCTGGACTATTTGGTTTACTGAACTAATTTAAAATTTCAGTCTGGTGTCTTCCAAATTTGCATGTTGGAATATTAATTAATCTAGCTATAAGACAATTCTATTTATGTTCTTCCAGATTGCTGAATGCCGTACATCAGGGAATCTTTTGTCTTTCTGCATTGCCGTGGTGCTACCATGAATTCTGATAGCCATTTTTTCATATGCGCAGGGGACAAGGTCCGCCCAGTCCCATTATGGGAAAGAGAATTCTGCCGCAACGCTTACGACATTCCTTGGGAGACCTTCTGCGAAAACAAGCGATTTATTGAAATATTATTCAAAAACGTCATGGACTGGGATGATTCAGGAGCGCTCAAGAATTTCGAGGACGCAAAGGAAAGGTTCAGGGCAAAATATTTTGGTGAACCTTATGAGGATCCTGTGCTAGACCCTGATATATACATCGATGAGGTCGATAACCACTGCAAAGTTGACCCGGAGTTGGTTGCTGGCCTCGATAAGATAGCTGGCCTGGACTTGGTAGCCGACCTGGGTTGGGGAGGCATGGACAACCTGACACCCATGAGTTGGGGAGCACCGATAGGCAATCTGATACCCATGGGATGGGGACAGCCGGTTCCTAATCTGAAACCCACTGGATGGGGGGAACCAGCTAATCCGACACCTGACCCTGCTTGGGGAGGCCAGGGAATTCAAATACCAGATCCAGTCCGCGGAGCCCAGCCTTCCTGCACACCAAACAACAGTAACAATAACTTGCATGAAGGTAGACCATCCAACAACTGGCAGCAGCAGGGGGTGGATCCAGGCCATCCGTCATCTGGGACTGCAAGGATGCTGCCCGGCGGTGGCAGGATATGGATCAGTGGCGTCAGCGGTGGCAGTGGTGGAGCTGGCAGGAATTTGAACGGTGGAGGTGGCGGCGGTGGCAGCAGCAGCAATTGGAATGGCTGCAGCAGCGGCAATCAGAGGAACGAGGCTGAGGGGCAAAACCAGCAGCGGAACCGTGGCAGCATGCAGAGGAACCAGAACTTGTGGCAGCACCTGATGAGGAGCATCGGCCGGCAGCAGCAGGATCAGAGGGGAAGGAAGATGGAGTGGCGTCCTGTGCAGCGCAACAAGGCCCCCAAAGATGATCCTGTCGCTTGATCTCTCGCCAGGCGAGATCGCAGGTGGTTTGTTTGTGAAGCCAGTGTTGGGCTGGGCTGTTGCTGGCACAGGTGGTGCCTGTATCGTAGGAACTGTGGGCCGCCGCCGCTCTTCCGGAGCTGCTGCGGCCTTGGTTTACTTCTGTTGTACTGATGATGTTGTAATGTTAATGGAAGCATGACAGTTCGGTGCAAAGTTAATCTTTCTCCGCCTGGTTATATTGCACTGTGTATGCATATACTCGTACTACTCGTTTATTACTAGCTCTGCTCATCTTTTCAGTGCAGACTGCAGACAAAGAGCAGGACGCGGTGGTCTACGGTCCGGATGATCCGGCCGCGCCGCTCCGGCCCGGCCCGGCCACAAAAATTGACGCCGGCCAAGTCTCCAGCTTCCACGACATCCTTCAGGAGAGACAGAGGAAAGGAAACATCCATCAGGATTCAGGAGAGACAGAGGAAGGTACACTGAACCGTGCTTGTGCAGGCACGTGAACACAGGGACGGAGCCAGGATTTGACCTAGGGTGCCGTTTTGGTATACCAATGATAACCACATATGATAAAATATGTGCGTATATATACATGTATGTATATTCCCTCTGTTTTAAATTATAAGTCGCTTTGACTTTTTTTTACATCTATTTTGCTATGCATCTAGATACAATGATACGTCTAGATACATAATAAAATAGATAAAAAAAAGTTAAAGCGACTTGTAATTTAGAACGGAGAGAGTATTAAGTTAGCAAAAATATAAATAATAACCAAATCAATATTTATTTTGCGATAGGGAAGAAAGACTAACACAAAGAAAATATAATAAATAAATATATCACTAATTAGTAATTTTTATTAGCTAATTAAAGGGTTACATAGCGGGGTACTAGGGAGGCCCCCCGCTCGGCCAGGTTCGTTCGTTGCCAGCAAGTCTAAGGATTGGCTGAGTGGTGGTGCCGCTTACGGGCTTGGGTTTCTGCTTGTGGCCAGGAAGGGGTCCGCGAGGGGGTGGAGCTGCTGCGGCGCTGCGACGGGATGGTCGGCAAGCTCGGCCTCTTCTCCCCCAACGAGACCAAGGAAGACGTCTCCACCGCCAACCTCAAGTACCTACTCGTATGTGTCCGCCCGGCGCCCCTCCCCTCACTCTGCTCTGCTCGCCGTACAAGTTCATGGAACAGGGCGTAATAAGATGGCACTAAACGCCTAGTCATCAGTCACATGTCACTTTTAGTCAGTTCTCAGTACAATCACAGTAGTGCTAGGAAACCTGGAATTGTTTTGGTGATTCACTTATTCGTCATTTGTTAGGTTATTATTATGTCTCTGATCTCTTGTTGGAATTTTAGGTCCCATACTACCTTGCGGAAATGACTAAGAAGATAGCACATGACGATCGGGTCCCAATTCTTAAGGCATAACAGGACCATTTGAAGGTTAGTGATTTACCATGTCACATTGTTTTTCTAGAAGCAGTTTTTTGTAAGAGATGTCCCACATGGTAGTTCTCTGTCATCATGTCACCTGTTTCTCATGTATTAATAACTAGGAGAATACCCCGCGCGTTGCTGTAGGGATTCCAAATAATTCAGACTATTTATATTTATTTATAGTTATATGAATGAAATTATCTTAAATTAATTTTCGGGAATGGTTTGACACATCTACTTTGACAACGAAATGCATGTTAGTGGATGAAGAGATAGCTATCATAATTACATGTGCTAGTTGGCTATAATTGCAAGTTTTAGTGGATTGTTGATGTGGATAGCTTGCATGTTGAGAGAAATCTCGAGTGGGGCTTAGCTTTATAAAAGTATAGGATAGGATTAAGAACAGCTCCTTTTGCGCTCTACAGGAGTTCATGGCTCTATGTGAAGTGCTGGAGCTTATTCCAGAGGATGAGCTAGAATTATCTAGACAGAAGCAACCTGATACTATGGCTAACAGAAGAGCACAGAAGGTGAGACTGATTGACTGATTTTTTTCCCATTCAACTTGCCAAGGAATCATGAGCAGTTTGCCTCTACAATTGAAACAGGGTAAAATGGAACATAGTTCTCTCATCGTGCTAGCATAATCTGTAATGAATAGGCTTCTTACCCCGAGCATGTTTAGGGTGGGTTTGTTCCCCAAAGTGTTCACTCCTTACTATTTCATGATCCAGGTTGCCCGGTTCAAACGTCAAAGGGCTTCAGAAACAAAGCTCCAAGAGATCAAAGAGAGGAAAGAAAGGCGTGTACGTTCGTTGAGGGCAGCTGCTTTATCTGCTCCTATTGAAACTGGGGAGGAAGATGATCTGGAAGACGATGGGGAGGAAGAAAGAGAGGTTAGCATCCCACAACTGAAGCTGTAGTGTGTTCATCATATGTTTATTCTGGTTCTATCTTTCAGCATATTCAAATTAGAATGAGATGTGATATTTAGACTTTAGCTAATAAAAATTTGCCCCCTCCCCCCTGATACCTCTGATTTTAATTTATTAAGTCTGTGATGCTTGTAGGGAGCTTTATGAATTTGATGCGTGTAGCTACTAGCTAGGTTCTTAAATACCTACATGACCTGTGATGCTCCTTTTTGTGCATACCAAGCCGATGAGGATCTTTCTTGTTCTCTCTGATAACACTGACACAGCGCTACCATAAAATTTATCCCATAGCAATAAAATCTGTACTGCAAAGCCTTCAAATTTTTTAACATTGTTCTCTGCTCCCCCCACCCCATGACTAACTAATTCTTTTTAATCTTGTTTCATATCTTGTCAATGTGTGCATCCAAATCATATTCTATTACTTTGCACTTCATTTTATAATATAATTAATCAGAACATATGTTTTGGTTCTCATTTATTTTCCTATGCTGCAGGCGTGGTTAGCTACTATCTCATCGGCTCTCTGCAAGGTTAGTTTGATGTGGTAAAAATTATTACACAATGCTGCTTCCCTGTTTTAAAAATTGTATACTTGCAATTATAGTAATATATTCTGGTTGCTGTACTATAATAGGTTTGTATTTATTTCCCTATATAGGCTTTTGATCTTCTTGACATGCTGAAGAAGGAAGAAGAAATGCTTCTAGCTGTAAAGGAAAGGCAAGCAAAGGTAATGCTAAAAGATAGTGATTTGGTATTTTCTTGTCAGTGGCATCTTAGGCAAATTATTTTCAGTAACATTTTTTCCTTCTGAGAATGTGGGAGTGAATTTCAGGCTATCATGTCTCACATAAATATGATAAATGCATAGAATGCTGCTTTCTGCAATTTGGATATGGTGTAGTTAGCTATATAATGAGAAATTTTCAACTTGGAACCAGCCTTATGAAAAATGCTGTGATAAGTACTGTAGCTTTCATATAGATCAATGTCAACGTTTTAGGCTAGCTGGGTTTCTCAATTTTCTACATAGCATTTGTTAAAGGTTAACCAAAGATGTGCTGCCTTGTGATTGCCATGCTTTTGTAGAACTTGTTTTCTTATATTGGCAACTGTTACGGAACACAACCGGATGTATTTCATCCCATGTGTTTCTCTTTTAATTTGGGAAATTACAAAAAATATGTCATTTGAGTGGATCTAGTATTGAATAGTTTCTTCATATTTATGAAGAAAACCTGGCTGTTAAAAATGTGTAAAAGCTACTTCCATTAATTGCCGGTACTTTTGCCTTCGTTTATTTTGACACAAGGCTGTTTCAAGTAGACTGCATGCACAGAGACTTCTGCTAAACAGAAGAATTGCCTGTTGTAAAATTTCCACTTCTTCAGGACGGGAATGCGTTTGCTCGTGAAATGCTAGATGAACGAACAAAGAAGGCTGAAGCATGGCACCATAATGCTGCCAAACGTGTGCCATATTCCAAACCAGCTGATCCAATCACTTGCGCAACATTAGCTCAAGACATCCTCGAAGGTAGAGCGAGTGTCTCAGAAGCTCATGAGCACAAATACCAGCCCCTGATACTCGGACCTGCAAGCCTTGTTGGTGGGGGACTAACCAGTGGAAGGGAAAGAATTGCAGCACAAGTTTTTCAGCCTGGTTACAGGTATGATGACTTAAGATAGCGTTATATGCCTACCACCTGTACACTGCAAAGCTTTCCATTTTCTGTATTCTGCATCTCTGTTGAAGTGCTAATGGTAATGTTGTTATCGTGGAACGTGTAATCAGCGTTGTTTCCTCAGTTGCTAATAAATAAACTTAGTTTTCCTTGTAAATGTGACCATAGGTTATGACAATGATCACATAAAAAGCTAATCCATTTGATATTTTCTGGTAAAAACCAATAATAGATATTATCCTCTAAAATTCCATACTGATAAGTCAGATAGTAACCCTATATTAGCCTGTGAGTATTGCCCGTTCCTTTTCGGTTCATGAGCCATGAGGCACTGTAGAAGTGTACTGAAGTACCCTGTGATTCACTTCTGTGTTGCCCTTTTATGTTGCTTGGATCATAGGCTGCCAACAATGAGCATAGAAGAAGCTGGTTTGCGGGAGATGAAAATGATGGAGAAATGGCAAGAAAGGACCGCCAAGATGATCGAAGAAGCCAACTCTGCCTGGCACAAGGATGGCGCTAGTTGTTCGGCGCGAGAGGACGAGGATGCCGGGGAGGAGAAAGCAAGAGCATGGGACGACTGGAAGGACGATAATCCTCGCGCGTGGTGCCGGCAATAAGAAGCTCACTCCCTGTGGCTAAACTAGGACAATCCTCCGTGTGCTCTGTTCTGGAATGTTACCACTTGTAGCCATTAGTGCTGTTATTAGTGTGATTGGGCCTTGGAGCGTTCGGTGGCGCATGTCACCCCGCGGGAACCCCTGGAACTATGGAAAGCCTCTCTTGGCTTGGAGTTGTCGCGGTTATTATGGAATGTGGCACTCCAATTCTTCAGATAGGCTACAAGTTTTTTGCTGGGCTTTGCTACGTTTTGTTCGGCCTTTTCTTCAGATAGGCTACAAAATTTTGACTAGTATAGTGCAATTGTGCAAGTTTATTTATCAATTTATTTGCTGACATGCATCATGATTTGTTCCTTAATTTAGTGCGTTAAGTAGCGAGTAACGAATGAAATTTTCCGTTCCGACTGCGCAGACATGCATACACACGATACATGCTGCCGACTTGAGGTCCCTATCTCTGACACTTTTGCTGTGACACTACTCGACAAATTTCAGTTTAGTTTCATACGTACGAGGAAAATTCGCCGGTACGGTAGCCTGGTCGTCACAATTCCGTTCAGAGTACACTATTCGTCTGCAGATCTTAGGCTTTACCTAAACTTATTAATTTTGCCATTCGAGATTATATATTAATCAGTACTAGTCACACAAATTCCTACGCTTGCGTGCATGTGTGCCATATATACGTGGTATAACTAACTTGAGGTCATCTGAGAGTACATGGAAGATATGTTGATGTTGCTAAGATATGTACCTTAATTATGGGCTCATACCATATATACCCCTGAAGGGTGGACATTATATAAAGGAACTTGTACCCATCTAATTTAATGATAAGAGATCAGTTACTTCCACGTTTTCCGTCTCTCGTGTGTGCTACTTTTGGGGTCGGGAAGGGAGACGGGTCATCTACCATCTTCTACACACCTAATCTGCTATCAGGAGGGGAGTTTGGATCAGGAGATCCACGACGACACCTGAATCTTAACACGTTATCAACAGCTCTACCACTCAAAGGTACGTCGTTCGTGATCATTTCCACCGAATTCCCCTTGATGGATTTAGTTGGTCGGTCGAATCTGTACTTCTTGATTGTATAGGCTTTGCTTTTAGCAAGAATTGTTTCGTATCTAGTATGTTTGTTTTTTTTAATAGTAGATGTGATCGGTTTTTTGCATCTACATTAAACTACGGCGCCGCTACCCGGCCCTGCAACCTGACTGAACCGATCTATTATTAGCGATTTCCTTGCATGCATGCTTTTTGCTATTGCCTGGTGGTGGCCAGCGTGATTGCCTGAACCCTTTTCTCATGGGCAAATCAATGTAGATTGGTTTTTTTTGGGTCCTGTGTGCATCTACTGAACCAACGTAATCGATCAGATTGGTTAGATGGCTGTCTTTTTTATGCACATACTACATCATCACCGGCCAACCCAACGCTTGCGCGTACGCCGCCGGTTGAGATTTTGCAGATCGATTTAGGCTCCGAAGCTGTATAGCCCTGAAGTGCTTAATGTTTATTTCCTTGCGTTTATTACAGAGTTGTTTTTCTATGGCTTAATACATGCTTACATTCATTCTGTTAATGGAAAAGTCATAAGAATGCATTAAAAATGATGTGTTTACACACGACCATTACACTAGCTGATTGATCTAAGTAATATTCATGTATACTGACCTGAAGTGTTTTTACATGATCATAAAGGCGATGGGTGAAGTCACGAAAAGGCAGTTTGACTACCTCATGTTGAATGGCAAGAATTACCAGACCTGGGTTGTGGATTGTCGTTTCCACCTGGCAGCCATGCAACTGACTCACACGATCACTCCACGTGCTGAGGGTGCTCCTGCTATTCCAAAGCATGAGATCGCAAAGGCATCGATCTTTCTGAGGCACCACATTCACAAGGACCTCAAGCAGGAGTATCTTGAGGTGCGTGACTCGCTCACGTTGTGGCAGGCACTCGAGGACCGTTTTAGCAAGCAGAAGACTGTGATTCATCCTCAGGCTAGGCGTGACTGGACACAGCTACGCTCTGGAGGCTTATAATTCTGCACTTCACCGCATTGTTGGCCAACTTACGCTTCTGTGGGCAGAAAATCACAGATGCGGAGATGATAGAGAAGACTCTTGAGACTTTCCATCCTGCTAATATGGTGCTCCAGCAGCACGTAACAATAGGTACAGAAAGTACTCTGAACTGATAAATGTCCTTCTTGCTGCTGAGACTCAGAATGAACTTCTGATGAAAAATTTTAACATGCGCCCTGTTGGTGCTAATGCTTTGCCTGAAGCACATGCAAGCTTCCATAAGAAGTCTAAGACCTTTTTTAAGAAAGGCAATCCAAACAGCAAGAAACAGGGACAGAACGATTGGAAATTCAAAAAGCAGTCTAACAAAGGCCAGAAGCCTAATAGCCAAGGTAAAGGCAAGGCCCAGAAAGGTGATGCAGGTGGGTCTGAGCACCCTAACAAGGGTTGTTTTCGTTGTGGCTCTATGAACCATTGGTCTCGCTCTTGTAGAACTGAGCCACACCTGGTCCAGATGTACCAGGAGTGGAAGAAACGTGAGAACCCTGAGGCCCACTTTATCCAAGCACGAGTTGATGCCGTGACTGGTGAGCACACTGTAGTGTTGCCGCAGCCTGTTGAGAAGCCAGAGGGAGGTAATGCTATGGATGTTGATCCTACAAATACCTCTGGAGGCAATATCCAGGATGACGATGATGATTATAACCTCGATGAAGAGGACACCCTGGATGATGGTTTTGGGGACACGGAGTAGTTCCTGAGTCATAATTATTTGCCTCGACAACTTAGATTAAATTTATTTAGTCAGTGTGGTTATTTTTCTGAAGAATATTTGGTCGTGACGTAATAATGCTCTTATTGAGCAAACTAAATTTATTTGTTTAGACTATCAATTTTTAGCTCGTATATCTATCATGGTTTATTTTTTTGAATAGCGCTCTTGTTCCTTACGTGCATTTTTTTTTCGTGCATGCTCTTTTCATTCCGTATAAATTAAACCATGCCTTGTTTGTTTTATATGGAAATGAATTTAGTATATTTCTTTAAATAGAACAAGAGACGTGGTGCATTGTCCTATGGAGGCTGAAGAGGATTTTTGCTTAGTTGATAGCGCTGCCACAAACTCAATTTTGAGAGATACGCGATTTTTTGAGACATTGAGAAAACGAGCTGAAAATGTTCTCACTATTGCCGGAAGCAATGGCCGCGTTGTTGGCTCCGGTCGAGCTATTGTGGTGCTCCCAGATGATACTAGGATGTTCATTGAAGAAGCTTTCCTGTATCCCGGAGCTGAGCGTAATCTCCTTAACTTCAAAGACATCCGTCGCAGTGGTTGTCATGTTTCTACTGCATATGAAAATGGTGCTGAATACCTATATTTGACGGAGTCTGATGAAGCAAAAATAAAAGTGGTTGAGAAAGCATCTTGCCACCTCCTCTGGACTGTACTACACGAAAATTAAGCCCCCTTTGGAATTTGTTGCGATGTCCACAATTTTTAAAAACCCAGAATCCTTTAGAATCTGGCATGAAAGGCTTGGTCACCCTGGGATAAGGATGATGCACAACATCATAAATAGTTCTGTTGGTCATGGCATTAAAACAACTCAGTTCCCTAAACCTGAAGATTTCTTGTGCACCGCATGCGCACAGGGCAAACTGATCACTAAACCCTCTTACCTAAAAGTAAAATCTGAGTCCTTGGCTTTCCTGGAGAGAATTCAAGGCGATATTTGTGGCCCAATAAATTCTTTATCCGGACCATTTAGATATTTCATGGTTCTTATAGATGCTTCTACAAAGTGGAGCCACGTATGCCTGTTGTCTACGAGGAACCACGCCTTTCCTAAATTCATTGCCCAGATCATCCGTTTACGTGCTAGTTTCCTGGAGAACCGCATTAAGTCAATTCGGATGGATATTGCTGGCGAATTCACCTCAAAAGCATTTAACAATTATTGTTTAGCATCGGTCATTGATGTAGAGCATTCTGTACCCCATGTACACACTCAGAATAGACTTGCCGAGTCCCTAATAAAGAGGATTAAATTAATTGCCAGACCACTTTTACTAAATAGCAGTCTCCCCACCAGTTGCTGGGGCCATGCAGTGTTGCATGCTGCTGCCTTAATCCAATATAGACCTTCTGCATATCACTCTGCTTCCCGACATCAACTAGCGCGTGGACAAGAACCAATGACTTCCCATCTGCGAAAATTCGGCTATGCTATGTATGTGCCGATATCACCACCCCAACGTACATCAATGGGGCCTCACCGGAAGTTGGGGGTTTATGTTGGTTATGAAACTTCGTTCATAATCAAATATTTGGAGCCTAAAACTGGGGATCTTTTTACGGCTCGGTACGCTGATAGTATCTTCGATGAAGATCACTTCCCGACATTAGGGGGAGGATTGTACCTTAAATCTAAAAAATGCTGGGAAGTAGAATGGAATGACGTGGGCATCCATTCAATTGATCCACGCACTAGAGATGCTGAACTTGAAGTTCAAAGAATAATTCACCTGCAACAATTAGCAAATAACTTACCAGATGCTTTTACTAATATAAGAGGAGTGTCAAAATCGCATGCATATTCCTGCGGCTAATGCATCGGAGAGAGTGGAAATACCCATGGAAGTAACAAATTCCACTCATGCCTCCAATCCTAGGAAAAGGGGGAGAGAACCGGATGACTCGTGAATGAGTCGTGACATCCACAAAGACAAAACACCAAAATTATTATGCTCCCAATCAGTAGTCCCAGAAGAGACATGCCCTGAAAGCGATGGCCCTAGTGCTCATGTGGGCACAAACATAATAAATAGCACGAGGGCATCGGAACAACCAGACTCAAGTGACACGGGAAATCCAAATGAGCTGGATGATTCAAATGAAGAAATGGCCACAAACTATGCTCACTCAAGAGAGTTATATAATAGAAAGACTACAATTGTCGACATAAATTTCTTCTCTAAGATTGCTACTGTAATCGATGAGGATCACCACAGTCGGAATTGCGCTCAGATTGGGTCAAATGGAAGAAAGCAATAGAGATGGAATTGCGCTCGCTTAAAAAAAGGCAAGTGTTTGGGCCTGTTGCCTGCACGCCTCCCAATGTTCCCCCCTTAGGATACAAATGGGTATTCGTTCGTAAAAGGAACGAGAATAATGTGGTGGTGAGATACAAAGCGAGGCTTGTAGCACAAGGGTTGACGCAGAGACCCGACATCGATTATGATGAAACATACTCTCCTGTAATGAGTGGCATAACATTCCAATATTTGATATCAATGACAGCAGGTTTAAATTTAAATATGCAGTTAATGGATGTAGTGACCGCATATTTATACGGATCACTAGATTCTGAGATATATATGAAAGTCCCAGATGGCTTAAAAATTCCAAATCCTAAAATAAATCGCAACATGTATAGCGTAAAATTGCAGAGGGCGCTAAAGGAATTTTGATACACCAGTCGACCTATAGGAAAAAGGTCCTTGAAAGATTCAACATGCTAAAGGCACACCCTGTGACCACCCCATGGTCGTGCAATCACTTGACGTAGACAAAGACCCATTTAGACCAAAGGGTGTGGATGAGAAATTATTGGGATCCGAAGTTCCCTATTTAAGCGCCATAGGAGCACTAATGTATCTTGCGAATTGCACTAGGCCTGACATTGCATTCGCGGTTAACTTGCTAGCTAGACATAGTGCAGCCCCTACAAGGAGGCATTGGGTTGGCTTTAAAACAATATTGAGGTACCTCAAAGGCAATCTAGATCTTGGTTTATTTTTCCTGAAGAAAAATGATATGACTATGGTGGGTTATGCAGATGCTGGATATCAATCAGATCCCCATAATGGTATATCCCAGACTGGTTTTGTATTTCTCTATGGTGGTACAGTTATCTCATGGCGGTCGTGTAAGCAGACCTTGGTGACAACATCTTTGAATCACTCAGAGATCATAGCTCTATATGAAGCTGCACGTGAATGTGCCTGGTTACGGCGAATGACTAACTACATCCAGAAGCCATGTGGTTTAGATATTGCCGATACCCCCTGTTGGTATTTATTAACGCACACAGATAAATCCACAAGCGCACGGATACTGCTGTAGCTTTCACCTGAAAGTATTCCAAGTATCGTATCCACAGGGAAACGTGTGAGACTAACTACGGTCTAACTTAACGAGGGGTAGCAACAAGGTTAGGATAAACAGGAGTGTAGAGAGGATAACTAAGGTTCTCTTGTTCTAACTTCGGTAAGCTATGTCTTCTACTATTCAACTGGGGACATTACTAGGGAAAGACACCAGTAGAGGATGATTTCCTTCGTAACCGGGTCCTACTTGGCCTACAAATGGGAGGTGGACTATAGAGGATTCAACGAGGCTATATGAGTCACCCTCGTGAGCTACCACCGATTCGGAATGTAGGGTGCATCCACGATTAACCCAAGTCTAAGCACCACGCTTACACTTATGATTAATACTTTACAACCCCTAGGAAGAGAATAAAGCACTTAAAAGAGTCGTGATCCTGATGAACAATATAAACAAGATGCTTACTTGAATTAGAAGTTAATTACCAGAGAAATCTCAGAGCCAAGCTCAAGTAGAACTTGGATCCGCCAAGGTACATGCCGTAGAGAGAGCACCGACAAGCTGGCACATCCTCCAAACTCTTCCCTCACTCTCTATCTCGCTATTTCTATTTACAAGACTAGATCCTATAGAAGACTAATCTTCTCTTGATTGCTGGCTCTGATCCTGAAGATATGAATTAGGGTTTCAGAGATGGATCTCCTAGAGGGGGTACATGGCTGTATATATAGGGTGTAGCATCAATTCTGGACCCTTGGATCAAACAGACTTAAAAGGACGACGTAGATGCAATCTAGGAGGCGGTGGAGAACCGACATTCGAAGGGGAGGCTGACAGGTGGAGCCCATAGGCCAGTCGGCCTGTAGGTGGGGTTGGCCGACCCCACATGTCATCCCCTCGAGGTCTGCTTTGGTGGGTTGCCTTCTAGAGTGTTCTAGAGTCTTCCCAAGTTGGTACCATCGCGGATAAACATGATTTGCTTTGACGAATAGGTCCTCCTTGATGGGTTTCTGATTAAACCCTACTGAAAACACAGAGTCACCAAAACTTGTGGAATTTATTAGTTTAAACCCCTAGACCTATGTTTGATGATGGAATTAAGTATATATGCAGGTTATATTGACGGTTTATAATTATCGTTAACGACCGTCAACAAGCTCCCCCAATATTAACCTTTTGCTCATCCCTGAGCAAAGCTAAACTCAGTAATCGATCAGGAGTTGCTACAATGTTTTCACTCCTCAAAAGTACACATGCGTTCAAATAAGAATTCTCCTCCGAATAAATTGATCTGACTTTCCAAACTTACCCATATTACCTTCCACCATGGGGCTTCTTAGCCTTCACTTGGGTCTTGAGCAATTGAAAGACAAAACGATCAAGTCAAGCACTATGTCTCAAGTTCTTTGTTCGACAATTGTTCCGGAGTTTTTATAAGTTTTCAAAATAAAACTCAGAGATTCCATTGTATGACACTCTCAAGTCTCTCAATATATGTAGTATTTGTGGATCCTCACCAAGGAAATAAAGATGTAATACTTTTCTCTTCCTACTACTAAGGCTTATGTGGAGTTCATAGGTAGGGAGAAAGCTAGAGCATACTTGCAATGCATATAGTGTAAAGTCAAACAACGGATCCAAAG